CTTAACTAAGGCTCTGGCAGGTAACGGCCATTTTGGGTAGGACAGAATGTACTCCAAGTAAATGGAGATTTCCCAGACACTAGAGAACAAACTTTCCTGTAGGGGCTCTTGCTGCCGGTGGCCATTTTGGGTAGGACAGACTGCACTGTAAGTAAATGGAAGCGATTTGTTGGACACTAGAGTACAAACTGTACTGGACTGAGTCTCCAGCCGGCGGCGGCCATTTTCGCTTGGACAAAGACACCCTCCACACGGCTGTATAGAGAAGTGAGTTTTGTCTCCTCATGCGAGGACGACGTCGGCGGCGCTGAGAGGCTGAGCGGAGGAGCGTCGCTTCACTGCTGTGGGCGGAGCTACAGGAGTCCTCTGGGCAGTCGCCAGCTAACTACATTAGACCCCACCTGGAGCTCCGCCCACAGCAGTGATGCGACACTCCTCCAGCCTGCGCAGAGGACCCCAGCCACCACGGAAGGTAAAAAAAAACAAAAAACAGCGCAAGCTTCGGCGCTAGGCATCGGGGCATTTTGACAAGTACAAGTACTTGTCAAAATGCCCTGTATCGGGCCCGATTCCGATGCTAGCATCGGTATCGGGACATCCCTAGTTTGATGTATGTAAAGAATGTGGAGTACTTGTTAAAAACACCTTGAATGTTTAAAAGGTGCTTATAAGGCATCTAGGCGCCATTCTGACCACTTTTAAGGATGATGTAGCTATGCAAGCCATTTTGTTAGCACAATGCCAAACATATTTTTTTTTCTTGTAATGCACCCTGAGCCCTGTAATTCTTACACATTCTCACCTTTTGTAGCTGATTTAGCTACTCTCTAGCTTTTTAGTTCTCTTTATAGCTGCTGAGAAGTATTAGGACTGCTTATTTTGAATGTCTTATTGATGCACAGAAAACAAGGGCAGTTTCGTCAGATGCCATTTAATTTTTGTGCTTTTAGAGCCTTTTAAAAAGATTTTAAAAACTCTATGCAAACACTGTGAATACATACCCAACTCTACACGTGTTGATGGTCTGAACTGAACCAGTGGTACAGTGCAATAACCTGAACTATTTAGCCACCAAGCTGAACTGGGCAAGAGCAATGACAGATGCACACAATTGAACGTATTATCATATCCACTTTTTATACAAAAGGCTTACTGAATGTGCACAGCTTTATACCTACAAAGGTTAAAGGGGATCTACCAGTGTATGTTCCTAGTAGGCTCTGAAGGCACCCCATTCTGCATATTAGAAGAATGGTAATAATAAAAGGACATTAATGTCACTACTTGTTTGTAGGTGGTGGCACTTCAAACTTTACCTTGTATTGTACATGGAGTTTCTTGGGGTGAATTTTGGAACAGATGTTGGTCACAGGATTTGTACTGAATAAGTTACCTTCAGCGCCTGTGTTTGAAGCTTAAAAACAATAATGCATTTCATGAAGATGTCATTTGTACTTTGCACCCAGAAATACAATAAATATGCAAGGGGGATTAATCGAGGGAGGAGCTATATATATTGTTTACCTGCAAATTCAAAGTAGGTATAGAGGCACGGAGCAGCAGAGATGAGTCAAAGTATTCGCATAATGATGATATAGAGTGCCTCTATATCTGCTTTGGATTTGTATAGATATTTTGTGGATGAGCACTTGGGCATTTACCTTACAAATAGAGTGTGGTGGCTATCCCTGAGACTATAAAGTATACCTGATTAGTGCCAGTGAAGATTGAATTTATAATTTGGTTTACAACATTATTTGTGCTCCCTTCTTGAAGATTTATAAACTTTCATATGTCTGCATATGTTGATAATGTGCTGTGATTTCTGTTAACTCCTATCTGATCAGAGGGGAACAGGTAAGTTCTACCATTGGATGCTTAGAGGGGTAGATTTTAAGGGAAAAAATAATCATATATATATATATATATACATATTATAGTGCACACTTTTGTGCATGGTGCATGCCCGCTGTGATGCATTATTATTATGAATCACAGTGTTTGATTTTATTTATATTACTTTCAACTCTGAGCAGCATTGCATTTCAACATGTTGCCAGGTGTTGTAATGCACTGTGTTGCAATACAATGTATGCCTTCATAATTTTATTGAAACACACACCATGTGTTAGTGGGAACAGGCCCTATACAAAGCAAGGACTGGGCCTGCATTGAGCAGTGCTGCGCAATGGGACCAGTGTGAATGAGACCTAATGGTAAATGTCTTAATAGATGAAATGCAGTTTGTGCATGTCTCACCCTGTGACATTCTTGATTAATTATCTGACCCCCCTATACACCTTCCTGATCATGCGTTTTAACTTTTTGTTGTTGGAAACCTCGCCTAAAAAAAAAGCATTTTGCTGAAAATAAACACTTTGATATAGAAAACCATTGATTAAAAGCTGTGCCTGCTTCACTTCCTACTCATTTGACCAATACATGGCTTCTGATTGGAATTATCTATTTAAGTGAGGCTTCTCTGGGCCTTCTCTATAATAATAATTTAAAAAAGTATTTGTTCCCATAGAGACCAGTTGCCATGATTCTATTAGAGTGCCATGAACAATACAATCTTTTTATATGGGAATGAGTGTGCAGCGCTCAGGGTCACCAATAAGTGAACTAAAACTATCAAATTATTAAATACGTGTTGTTAACACAAAGTATAAGTGCTTATAATCTTTAGTGCATAATCTGCTACCATACCCTGGGGGTAGCCAGTGAGGTATTAAATACAAAATCTCACTTCGTGCAAATAAAAAACCTTATTATACGAAAATTATAAGAAAATTCCTTGTTGCAATCAAACGTAATCAAATAATAATAAAATAATCAAGTTATAAACGTGCATCAAATCAATCCAAGGGTCATATATGCAAGTGATGAATCATAGGTGAGTCCAAACTGTTATTTAGTCCAATTGTATATAATATATTGATGATAAAAACTTCAAACAGGTGCTTTACAATCTTTCTCCCACACCATGTGTTCACGACAAATTCCCCTCTGGGGTGTGCCCTCACCGGACCATTATCGTTTGTAGGCAATAGAAAGATGAGAAGCAGATATGTCCCAGCAAGCGTCTCATCAGAGTCCCATAGGTCGATATTTAACGAGAATAAAAAAGGAAACTCCTCATGGTGTAGTCGACAAAAATGTCGACTACACCATGAGGAGATTTCTTTTTATTCTCGCAAATTTTACATATTTCAATACAATCTTTTTTCCTTCTTTCTATGCGAGTTTCCATATCACATCTCCGGGTACTCTGCTTTAGATATTAGCATAAAAACACATTTGAAGCAATGAATCCTCTGAATTCCTATGCTATAGGAGATTTTTTTCTATATAGTTCTGGTCTTTCTTTATTATTAATAAGATTTATTAAGATTAATAAGATTCAAAGAAGATACTGAAGCAGTTTAAAATGTTATAAATATAATTTTAAAATGTACAGAAAAATGTTACAAACAGTTTAAAGAGCAACTTCGGACAACAGGTAAAACAGTCCATGAAGTAAAAAAGTGCGCAGTTACCTACATCTCGGTATAATGTAATCCACTCCATAAAATGACCATGTGCTTCTGGGTGGGTCTGTGTCCTCGGAACAGATGATTTTTAACCTCCCTCTTTAAATGGGGACTCTTTCTTACAACATAAAATCTAACTTTTCTATGCAAGAGCACCCGTGTAAATTTGCCACACTTTGCTCTATCTGTACAGAGAACACCTGTTGCTTTGACAGCCACGCGTTCACATGTTTGTGATCATCGATATATTTTACATTTTTTTTTTTTTTACAATTGGGTATAGTATATTTACAGTACTTATAATCTGACAGTTGTCACTAAAAGAAAAGGAAGAGAGGAATTCCTACACTTTTTTCTCTCACTTCCTGTTGCATCCCTTTTACAGGAAGTAAAGAGAAATATCCCAAAAGGGACAGAAAATGCAAGAATTAAACCATGGTTTTAACACTTCCATATTCTATCCAAAACTAAAATGACAATTTTGGCCATACGTGCACTGTAAAAAAAAACATGGTTCAAACAACAGTAGTGTCCAAAATGTGGCAACCTGTAACATTCAATTAAATATTACTTTGCCATAGGTAAAACGAAATGTTAAGTTTTGGATAGAAGTGGAAGGGTTAAAACCGCTATTTTTTTAAAATGTTTTAAACTGATAGACACACGTTCTTACATATAACTGTAGAGTGGCCCTTTCAGCTACACTATAATAGCATTGGTTTCAAGAGAACAGCAAGCGTTTTACAAATGGAAAATAAAATGGCAATAACTTGTCACAGAATAATTTTTCATCATGTGGGGGAGACACCCCTTTGGCCATAAGGCACCGAGGATTATCCCCATGTTTAAAATGTGTATTCTGATTATAAGTTGAAAACCCCTCAGGTTTTAATTGCTGCCTATTGTCCCATTGGGCAAATTGCCCCTAAACTTCAATGGCCATGGCCATGTCCGTGAGACAGGAAGTGAAGGGAATCTCCTGCAGACAAACAGGTAGCAATAAAAGGTTGATGAAGCCTCCAGCTGTTGTGTGCCTTGTAGAAAAATGTCCCTTTGCATCCTGTATGAGTCATATTGCACCTAGGATGAATAGTAAGAGGACATTTCCACAGTGGGGTTTCATGTACCAACAAAAACCAACAGTTTGCATTCTGCTCCATTCAGTCTAAAACTACAAGAAAAAATAATGGCTAGCATTCTACTCTTAGAGGTTTTTCTCTGCTGTAGGTTATTACATTTTGCACATCATTGCACTCTGGGCAGCCTTACTAAAATATCCAATAGGCACCCATCTGACGTCTACCTCAGGACAAGTGTTCATTTATGAATTAACTATTGACTTACTGCCACATCCTTTTAAAACATCATTAACAGCAGAACATTAGTAGATGGGACAGTTAATATAAAGTGCAATATATTGTAACCTTGACTATTCTTTTCATTGTAGAAAAAAATAATTTTACATTATTACATGTTCTGTAAGGTGTATTGTACTAGTTATAAGTCAATATGATCAATAGATGGTGCAGTTACACCAAGAGTAACAGACAAGCTGACTTATTCGTTACGATGCCAGAAGTTTCTTGTGTGTTTCATTAGAAACCTTATTCATTTCAGAATAGTTTTTTTTAGATCGTTTTGTTATTTCAGACATAAGAAAATACAGAAAGGGATCTAGGCAGCTGTTCAGGCTACTGAAACACAAGGCTATGAGATAGCTGCCATAAAGTTCATCCTTGTTATTGTAATGATAATTGACTTGGTGAAGGATGAGAATGATATTACTCGGTGTAAAGCACAAGGCAAATATGAGCAGAAGCAGGATGGTTATTTTAAGGTACATGAATCGTTTCTGGTCTTGGGTTCCCAGAGTTCTTATAATGGAAAAGTAGCAGAATATTATCACAGCGAAAGGCATGAGATACCCAAACACAGGAAGTGATATAAAATAATAAAACTGAAACACATCGGCAGAGGTTTCATATACGTCACTGCACGATATAAGTTGAAGTTCCTTCAGGTTATACGTCTGCTGCTTTGTGAAGAATGGTATCATGAGCACGAGGACAGTAATCCATACGAAGCAACACAGGAGAACAGCACAAGTCCGCTTTGGTAAACGCCGGTAAATGAAGGGGTGGACAATGGCAACATAGCGGCTCACACTAATGCACATGAGAAGCAGAACTGAGCAATACATATTCCCATAGAAGCATGTACTCACAATACGGCACATTGTCTCACCGAATATCCAGTTGTTCCCATCCAGATGATATGCTGCTTTGAAGGGCAGCATAAGGCAGAAGAGTAAGTCGGAAATGGCCAGGTTAGTGTAAAATATTGCCGTGCACACAGTTCTGGCCTTTGAAAACAACATCTGTAAAACCACTGCGTTGGCAGGAATACCAATGAGTATGACTATGATGTATATAGCTGGTATCATCTTTGTACTTGTAGAGCTTCTTAAGTAAGTCAAAGTTGAGTTGTTGACAATTGTCCTCTTCTCTGGCTCAGCATTCTGGACATTGGCTGTTATTGACAATTCTTCCCCGTCAATTTCACTGGGAATTGGTTCAAAATATTGGGAATGACGTGCGCGAAAAGTCTTTGGACCTGCAGTGTCTGACTCATTGTTTGAAACTTCTAGAGAGTTACCTAGTAAATAAAAAGATAAAAATATTGATTTATAATAATATCTTTAAATATCCTTTAAATAACTCTGTCACCTGCACCTATTCCACCCTCCACATTGCAAACAAAGGTGATTATTGCAATATTCTCTAACTTTACATTTTCTTAACCATTCTTCTGAATAGGTAGACAACTGCCCTACAGTTTGACAAAAGCTGTCAATTTAGGTCACAAAAGACAGAAAACGCTTTCAAGAAAAAAAATCAGCCCATTCAATACTTCTTTTTTTTCTTCCTGTAATTATACAAAGTTCTTCCTGTAATTATCATTCCAATTATTGGTACCCCTTAGAGCCAAAAGGACCAGAGATTCCCATTTTTCCAGTATGTGCTAAATTCTCTGTAATCATTCAGTGATCACTTTTGTTGTCATCTAAGTGTTGACCAAGTTGATGGTAAACACAAACAGATCTCTCAGCATGTTTGTTGTTTTAAAGGATCTGTTCTGTAAGGCTAGGTATAGATACCCCGATCACGATCTAATCCTGCCAATTTCAGTAGGCCTGAACTACAATCATTACATGTTTGTGGCTATCATTAGGTAGGGCTGTCCTACTCCAGTCATTGAGAAATGCATTCCACCTTGAGTTTTGGGGCAAACTTAGAGGTTTTGCATAGGACTAAACTTAAAAATGTCCATAGACATTAGATAGGTGCCCATGGATATTAGGAGGTTAAAAGATCAGCCTACCACTGAATACTTGCTCTTCTGATGGATCATGACTTAACATCACACTAGTATTGGTTGGTTTATGTGCTGAGCACCCTTGGTGGTGGTCTTATTTCAGGAGAAAATAGTGATCAGATAGGTTAACCCAACAGAGGCAATCGATTCTTACTAATGGTCGGTCATCAGGAGGGTGCATGTTGTGGTTTTAGAATGCCTATAGATGTACCAAACATTTCACCATTCAACTGTATTTGGCTAGGTCAGGGAGTAATCTGTATTGATGCCTATACATGGCCTCCTTTCTGTCAATTAGAATAATCTTTAAACTCCTGGCCCTGAAAGGGTTGATCGCATCGCTTTAAACAGAATATCTTAATTTGTCCTCAGTTTGATCATTTCTGCATAGTGGCTATTTTTTGGTGGCGTGGATTATTTACATATTTTAGTAATCACAAAAATTGCGAACTTAGTTTTATCTAAGACTCCATCTTGAATAACTTGATTAGCTAGTTCACTGATATCTTGTAACCTTACACCATGACACAGCTGCAGATTGCCGAACCCTTTCCTGTGTCTGTGGTCATTACACATAGGGTCATTGTTCTGGCTGAGGGGTGAGTACAGAGACCTTTCAAATATTCCTGAGAGAAGAATCATAAACAGCAGGGTCTTCATTTTGAGACTCTTGAGTTCAGTTCACACTGTGCACAGTAATTGTTCTGCTCCAAATAGCAGGCAGTGCTCCTTCCTCGCTGGCTCCATGTCATGTGTGTGGTTGCATACAAGGACAGGCGCACCTGTGCTCTAACTTGTTTCCTCCTCCTTCCAGGGAATGACGCAGTGTGCATGACTGGACAAGACTGCCTGATGAAAAAACTTTTCATGGATGCTTCTTAACTCTTATTTACTTTGTTTGTCTATTTACTCTCTATTCTCGACATTTCTTTCAAAATGTTGGATTTTTATGCAAACCAGTATTTATATTTTAAAGTGTGACTTGTGGTTTTTTTTGAATTTTTTTAGAGTAAAGGGCAAGATTTGGGAATAACTTGAGGCTGGGTGTACTATAAGAAGCACCTTATTTATATAGCACCAATTTACACAGTGCTTTACATACTGCACATTCACATCAGTCTCTGCCCTCAAGGAGCTTACAATCTAAGGTCCCTTTTGTACAGACATACAGGGCAAATAAAGTTCCAGCATGTCTTTTGGAGTGTGGGAGGAAATGCGAGTACCTGGAGGAAACCCACAGAAGCACAGGGAGAACATGCAAACTCCTTGCAGATAGTGTCCTTCAATTTTATTTTGTGTATGTACAGTATGTGTCAAGGACTACACAGGGAGACTTGTGTTATCTGAGGGTTTACACAGGAAATGTTAGAATCTGTTAGATTTGTATTACTGACTTGTTGCAGAGATTTTTCCCCACTTCCTGTCCCGGTAACATCTTGTCACACTCTGACACAAAGAGTCAGATTTACTAAAGGAGTTAAAAGAGAACTATGGGGTAAGTGTTTTTCCCCAAAGTTCTCTTTAGGGTCACGGGAGAACATATAGCAACCTCCCGTTACTCAAAGCTCAGTATATCATGGGCTATTGCCCCCGATATACTGAGAGCGACGCAGCCGGGACGGATCCCAACAATACTGTCGAGATCCACCCAGCTGCGTGAGTGACAGCTGGCTCTGCCCATCTGTGGTCAGATGGAAAAAGTGCAACAGATTGGCCCAGGTGGAGATTACTCTATCCATACAGTTAAGTGTAGATGGAGGAATCTGTTGCACCTTTTCCATCTGACCACAGAAAATCTGCAGATAATTGTAAGGTGTATGGGCAGCTTTACGCTTGCAGACTGTCTACAATTGTCTTTTTAAACCGGACTTTTTGCATACACTGTAGACCTGCCTTCACAGACTGCTGAAATATAAAAGTATGGGTAAAGCAAATAGACATATGAAGGTGTTGAAAGATAGGATTTCCACATGATTCTTTAATGACATATACAGGGGCGTCCCGGGGCTGGGTGACACCCGGAGCGGGAACCGAGGGTCACCCCGCCGAGACGTCATCGCGCACGCGTGGCAGTATTCTGATACCTGCCGGCGGCCATCTTGGTGATGGACGCCGGCAGAGAGAGGAGGGGACAGTCACCGGCGGAATAAGGTATGCCGCCGGGTCCCCTCCTGATACTGTCGGCCTTCGGTCCATGACCGAGCGCCCGACTTTTCAGACGGGGGTGACACCAAAATGACTGGGTCATTTTGGTATCACCCGGGTGCGGTGACGTCACTGGACATATACACTTAGAGCATCCATGTGTGTTCATGGTCTGTGCATACAGCGCCGACACTGGCCTTATCTCTGAAGAACAGCAACAGTTAACCAGGAAAACCCAATCCTACCCCAAGATTGGTTGGAACAGAAATGTCTGTTGTAATTATAGAGACACAGAAAATGTACAATTATTCTGAATGGTCTGTTAACAGATTGAGAAATACCTTTAAACTTATCAAATCCGTGTTCTCTCCCATCTAGAGCTTTCTCTAATGTTGTGCTATAAAGACTGCTGGGAAGGGCAACCCACAAAGATAATTGGAGGGTGCTCATTCATAGCGCATTAACCCAAGCCACAGTGACCAAAGGGAAAATCTGTTGTGAAGAAGCACACAAATGTAAATCTTCTTTGGTAGGGCAGTTCATGTAACAAATAGTATCAGACATAAAGAATATTATCAATTTTTACACAATTAAAAGTAACAAAATTAAGATGGTGATGCACATGATTATAGAGTGACATTCATCAACCCCCTTTCATATTACTGTATACTCAAATCATATGGCGATGGTATAGAAGAAATAAGTAACAAGGGGCAACAGTCAAGCTCAAGTGGTAATTATACACGATTGCTGGAAATAATTGGCGTTTAGGTTTGACATCTTGCTGCTGCATGTTTTCTATTCTTTTTTCTATATCACAACCTCTCTTTAATCATGTCTGGTACTGTTAGGTATAGTATGGTTAGCCTTTACAATAGAATTTCAGATCTGTCTAGAATAATGTCTTGGACTTCAGGGTAAAATAGGATGTCGGGGCATGCATAGTGCAGGTGCGTAGTCTAATTTATGCCATTAATGTATGGACATAAAAAAAAATTATGGTTGTCTTTAAAGGAGAACTACAGGGTCAGGGCTTTTCCCCTTAGTTCTCCTTAGGATAACGGGAGGACACAAACTAGCGTCCTCCTGTCACCCTAGGCTCAGTATACCGCGAGATACAGCTCGCGCTATACTGAGACGCCGCAGCTGAAGTAGATCCCGACAATTATGCCGGGATCCGCCCAGCTGTGTGAGTGACAGCTGGCTCTGCCTATCTAGAGGCAGAGCCAGCTGTACCAGCCCCCTCCCCCGTCCGTTCTGCTAGTCAGCGCTGGAGAATCGGAGGGGGAATCAAGCCACTCCCCTGTCATGGCAGAGAGCTGTGACAGGATCGAGAGGTGAGCGAACGCCGGTATGTGTTCGCTCACTTCCCGATCTACTGAGCCGACCTGTAACAGTCTCATTGTCACAGGTCGGCTAGAACTATGAGGTGAGTGAAAAGCACTCGCCTCATAGTTCTCCTTTAACACTAGTTTAAATAAAGTCCATTAAAAGTGCAGATTTTTTGCTGCAGTTTAATTTAGGCAAGCCACAAATTCCTAATCATAGATTACTTAAAGCCCAACTCTAGCCAATTTTTTTTTTTGCCATCTGTGTCCCATTGAGCAGATTTTCCTTCATTTTCTGTCTGATAGCTGCAACAGGAAATCCCTCTAAAGAAGGAAACCCCTGATGGTCAGCAGGGTCCACAGAACCAGTGCCTCCTTTGGAAGATTTCCCATCTATTCCTGTTCTGATGACAACCCAAAACTTTAGATTTTCTTTCACTCTCAGTGATGACTGTCACTGGGATAAAAAGAGAGGGTGAATCTCCCTAATGGGGACACAGACAGCAATATAAACCTGACAGGGGTTCTAATACCTCTCCAGTCTATCCAAAACTAAAATAAAGTTCTGGTTTTAGTTGCACTTAAAAACGGGTCTACGTGTTCAGTTTTTTATTGCATTCACAGAAAATACCTAAATGTTTCAGGAGCTTAATAGATTGATACAACTCTCCTCCTGTCTCATTGTCCCATACACAAAACACTGGTAAGCCCCTTCAGCCTGTCACTGCTGACAGCACAATAGGCTGTACAGAAAAGATAAATACCGTACATGATACTTTATCTCTACTAACAGTTCATTTCAATCAGTTAATTTTATTCTCTGTAGCAGTAGGTCCCCTGTCACATGGGCAGCCCCATCAAATCCACGTGTCAGTTTTTCAGGTGGACTTGCTCGAATGCCCAATGCTATTCGATGGGCAGACAGGTGTTTGTTTCCACCCGGTTACACCCGACTCTTGCCATGTCCGGACCAACAAACGGTTTCGACAAAACTAATCATGCCAGATCAGGGTAATCATATGCAAGTGGACACATGCCGGTTTACATCTGATTCCCCATAGACCGAGACAGGTTCCGGTCAATTCAGAAAATATTGTACGTACACGTATGTCCCAGTGGTGACGTCCGATTCGTACTGCTCCGAAAAGGAAGTCATCTGTGCATGGATCCTCCCCTGATCAGCCTGTGTTAAAGGTGCCTAGGGATGCATGTACAAACATTTTTAAATGTTACCAGCACCTCAGACCTCATGTGGAGGAACTTGAAAACGGAGTTTGAGTTCCTTGGCATAACTTGGTAAAAAGTTCAGGATTCAGTCATTTACAGAATATTTTTTCCCCAAACTTTCCCCCCCCCCATTTTGTATAGAATGTGTAAGGGTTAGAACCTCTGGTTTTAATTACTTTCTGTGTACCTGCAGCGCAGGTTAGCTATTCATTGTGACTGTTGTCTCCAGCACAGATAGTAATAGAGAATCCAAAAATGTCGAGTTGTCACACAAAAAGGTGGTGATGGGAATTCTTCCAATGGGTAAACCTGTTAAGGTTCAAATGTGGATATTCTTTAGACAGATCTCCTCTTAAAGTGACACTAACTCTAGAGTTCAATCTTAAATCTTAAAAAATGCATTCAAGTACCCTAACTATTGACAAACTGCATCTTACGTGTATCACTCAGCTGTAGATCCTCAAATCATCTCTGAATTGGTGGTGACACTGTCCTTCCTTCTGGAGGGTGGCTACTTTTGTTCCCCATGGTCCCTGTGTGTGTTGTACAGTAGCCACTGGTCTAAGCTCACTCCTGTGATGGACTACAATCACAATACAAATGAGTAAACTAAACATGAGATTGTAGTCCATCACAGGAGTGAGCTTAGACCGGTGGCTACTATACAACACACACAGGGACCATGGGGAACAAAAGTAGCCACCCTCCAGAAGGAAGAACAGTGTCAGCACCAATTCAAAGATGATTTGAGGGTCTACAGCCGAGTGATACACACATTAGATGCAGTTTTAATATTGGGTAAGGTGCTTGAATGCATTTGAGTTAATTGTCATTTTAATTACTGCTTTGCATTTGGTCAGGAAATTAAGGGTAATCTCCCTGTCCCTGACAAGACACAGGATAAAAAAACTAGTGATATGGGGCCTTAAGCAGCATTCCCTACCCAAAAATAAATAAAGGTTTTGGCTTTACATACCCTTGGAATCTCACATTGCAGACCTACAGCGGCTGCAGGCACAGGAAGTATACTGTCGTTTTTCAGAAAGAATGCAAGACAAGACAGATTTTCCAGGGAACTGCTTTGACACAACTACGATTTCTAGATGTTCTCTATAAAGCAGCTAATTTTCAGTTTTTGAATTTAGGTCCACTGTAACATTTCTTTTTGTTTTATGCATTTTCTGAGATATCGGCTATATACTGATCTTAAATATAATCCGATTACAGCCAAAGAGGTACATGTTACATCATACATTTTCTGTTCTGCGCTGTGAGAAGGAACAGACCCGTGCACATACATCCATTGTACATCAGAATAAGGTTATCAGTGTGCACTGTGACTTGTATGAGGAAATCCATGCATTGTTTCCTGGAGTTACAGTAGAATTCCCTTCACTGTTATGGGAGGTTCTCTTGCCCTGTATGGCTGATCGGTGAACTCATTCACCGTCTCATTGAGATTTCTCAATTAACAGGTAAATGCACTGTAAATGTTTTATTTCAATTTCACTTTAAAAGGTAAGACTGAGTCACATTACCGGTGAATAGGAAGTGGGTAAATAATTAACTGCACAATAGTGGCTCATACCAATATCCTTAAAGTACAGGTCAAAGTTTACCTGGTGATTTCATCATTAGAGCTGGTTTGGTTTATAAAAGCTCTATATCAGGGGTAGGCAAATGTTGACCCTCCAGCTGTGGTAAAACTACAAGTCCCATGAGGTATTGCAAGACTCTAAGAGGCATGACTCCCAGAAGCAGACGTATGATGGTATTTGTAGTTTTACAGCTGGTGGTATTTTACAGTTTTACCAGGCCACGTGACCTCAGCATTAAGAGGGTGTCCCCATGCCGATGAGGACAACTCTTCCCCACAGCCATGACCCGGTGGCTGTGAGGGTCTGTGGCCAAGGGGGCTTATTTGCATCAGGGTACCCCTTTAAGGAGCCACCCAGATGCTGCCCCCCTTGTGAATGAGTAAGGGGTTCTTGTACCCTTACTCATTCACTAAAGGGTTAAATAAAATAGTTATTAAGTCCAGACTTTTGATAAAATCCTTTAATTGAAAAAAAAAGTAAATGTTTGACTATTCTTTTAATTAAAAAAAAAATGGCTCCATCGATGTAATCCAGTGTCAATCACGATGCACGACGCCTGTCGACCCGCCGAAATAAAAGTCCTGCCACACAGCGACTGTCCGAACCTGAGGAAAACTCACCGCAAAATGACATTCCTGCTCGAAAGTAAACAGATGGGTGGAGCGAGCCGTGATGTCACGGCTCGCTTAAGGGTTAGAACCTCTGGTTTTAATTACTTTCTGTGTACCTGCAGCGCAGGTTAGCTATTCATTGTGACTG